GACGATGTAAGGGACTTTAGCGGTGTAGTTGAAGACAACAAGGTGTACCAGGTCTACTGGGCCAGAGAAGAATCGTTCTACGACGCGAAAGTACTCTACATGGCAGGTGAGTAGAACTGAAGTACGGCGAGTGATGTACGAGTGCTCTGCAGAACATGCTGAAGGCTTAACTGCATATGCAGCCGAAGCATTCTTTAGAGCGATGCGCTCATTGTCGGAATCTCGCGCTGCAATACTAAAATGCTCCTGACTCGGTCCGAGAGGTTTGGGCTAGAAAGTTTATACCTTTATATCTGGCATGGGTTATTGGCCTTACCGCTCTGTCGCACCTCATTATTATTGTTTCATGAAGAGTGCAGACAAAAAGCATCCGCGAGTGTAGTTCAGATATGTCTGCTGCTGTCTGCTGTCGTAGCCTGCATGCTTGTTCTCTAGCTTCAACGGAGTCGCGTAGGTTTTGTGAATTAAAGTGTATACGGTCGTTCCGAAAGGTTCAGACATCGAGGGCGTTTCTTTAAAGCATGCTTACGGTGCATGTGGTCCCGTTTGTAAACGAATGTCCCGTTTGCCCGTAAAACGCAAATTTCAAAATAGGAAAAAAAAAAACAACAACAAAGGACGGGTACACACATTTCCTGATTTTTGATGTCATGAATTACATTCATTTTAAGGATTTGTGAACCGCTTCACAGCCATCCAAAGTTGCCACCTCGGAATTTGAGCTTTATATAAAGAGTAAAGCTATACGCATTCCGGAGTGCACTTCGGACGGAAATGCACTCCGCTAAACTCGTATAAAACGAATGCTCAAATCCAGTTTCCTAAGCGATGGCATAGCATAGAATTCCACTTCCGGCTTCCAGCCAGAGCGGACGGCGCTATGAATCGCTCCCCGAAAGAGGCGGCGGCCGTTATCGGCCGCGGTGAAACGAATGTTTCTTTTCTGCCAAACGATTACCGTGTACTTTTGCCTGCTCTGCCCACCGGAGATGCTGCTAAGCTCAGCGTGATTCTTCACGCTCATCTTCAAGGAGGACCGGATTGAAGACTTCCGTGAACCGTTGGACGAGATGGGAGTTTTGCCGGGCGTGGCTGGTCTAGGGGCCTTCCAGATGAGCCACGTCTGGCTGCTGAAACTTCACTCGCTGCACTGTTAGCAAGTCCCGTGTATTTGGCGTGTATTTGGGGTGAAAAACACGCTATTTACACAAATTACCATAAATTTACAGGATGAGTAACGAATAATTCGTTCAGAAATCATGCGAGGTTGTAAAAAACGTGTTTTGGTTCGGTCATACACGCATAACCGTGTAGCCGACCTCGATAACACGCATCGCCCCCGGCGACGACCGCGGCATTGCCGGCTATCGAAGCACCGGAATGCTTGGGGACACACTTAGAAAGGACCGTCGAGACAAATGCCGCGGAAAGAAACATGTCTCGGAGACAGATATGCACCAAAAGCAATTGCGCCATGTCGCAGGACGTTGGCGAAACCCGCGCTTACCGGGCTCGCCGCCATCTTCTGGTCGATGGCAATGCGGCTTCCCTCATGTCGCCCATGTTTGTATTTAGTTTAGGGGTCCTGATAAGAGTTTCTTAGACACCACAAATAAAGTTATGGGTCTAATTATTCGTTGCAAACAGTTAAAATGGATATAAAAAGCGTGTCCTCGATGTGAACACGTGACATTGCAGTTGGTTTCGTTTTTGCTCCAACCTTCAACTGCAAGCGATCTGGCCACGGCGCAAGCGCAACGCCGATGTACGCTGGAAGCAAGCGCCGGTTGGCTTTCGTTGTTTTGGGGTTTTTGTTTGACCGGAGAAAATCTGGCAAGTACGCATGGCGCCGCTACTGTTTTGGTTTGACGGGACGCGAGAAGCTTCGCATAGAGCTTCGGAGTTTGCGAGCACATAGTGAAGACGTGACCGGAGAAGTGCCCCTGTGATGTTCTTGGAAGACGGAAAGTAGCATTCGTAATCGTCGTGTGTGCTTTGAAAGCGAAGGGAGTCACAGGGTCCACGAGTTCGCAACCACAAGCCAAGGTTCACGACAGCGCGGCGTTGACTTCGGCGATCTCGTTCTGTTTGGTGCAACCCGGCGATGCGAAAAAGAGCTGAAACATTCGTCGTGTGTGGTGCGGTGCTTTGTATTCCGGGTCTGTTTGAACCACGCTTTTAACACGGAGCGCAAATTGGTTGTTGCGTGGTGGAGGTTCAACGGGTACAGTCCCGTCGTCGTCAGCTGATCCGGTCCAGCTGGTCCGGGAAGACGCAGCGAGCGTTTTTAAAAGTAAATCTTCCTTCGTTCCGTTTCAAACTGTGGAAGTATCCCGACACATACCGTGAGTAAGAAGCAGCGGGCGTTTTCAACAAAATTACGTTGTTTTAATTGAATAATGGACTCCGGATTGTTGTCTTAAATCTGCCGTTTTTTATGCTTCGTGTTGGACTGCGTTTGCATAGCGGCGCACACCGCTCGAGCAGATGATTCGGTCCTGCAACGAGTTTGTTGCGCCAATCATGCGGCGTGAATAAATTAGGGCAAGGTTTCCTACCTGCCCACAGATGCATGTACTGAGACCATTTTTTATGTTGTGAACGTAGTGCTCTTTCTTTATTTTGGGAGACGCGTTGATGCATTTATTATGGTACAATCACTTGAGAGTTGAGAAATTCGAGAGCGAGCAAGCTTTCTCAACTTTGTCTCTTTCTCTCTGGCACTGCCCTGTTTCAGTTTCAGTAGGCATATCTACTAGCAGGTACAAACTGCTCTAAAGCAGGTAAAAAACGGGAAGCTTAGGACGGTGCGAACTCCGTGTTTCGCGCTTTTCGCAAGGTGACAGGGTAAATGCTTTTGTGAGATATGAGGAATATGCAAGCGATTTTGTTATGCCCGTCGTTTCCATCTCTCCAGCAAAACGAATAAGATGATCTACTACAAAGGCGCAATCACAAGCCAAGATTTAAGATAGCAGTCGTTTGCTTCGGTGATCCGTGTAGCTGTATTTTACCCTGCTCTCTGTAACACCCTGTCATGACGAAGAGCTGGAATGGTCACGGTTTGTGCTGGCCTCCCGGTTGACAGAAACCCGCGTCGCCCGCATCGGCACCGAGTGCGCTTGGGCTGTTGATGCTCCAGCCTTTCATCCGCGGCTTGTCGCCAGCTCATCCTGCTGCTCAACGGTGAGGAAGCGGCGAGAGTAACCTCGGAAGTGAATGTAAATCCTCGTTCATTCAGTTATCCGGTGTCAAAGTGTGGAAGATGTCCAACGTGTACTAAAAGCGGGAACTACGAGCGTTTTGCCTTGCTTTTATAACCGAAACGAGACCAACGAGATAACTGCCTTGAGTACTCTAAAATGACGGAAGCAATAAGTTTCAACAGGTCGAGTACGTCACCGGGGATGTAGGCGAGACGGTGCACACTGTTTAAACGCTTGCAGTATCCACGAGTGGTACCAGGAAAGCGACGTCAACAGAGAAGGAGCTCGCGATTCAGCATAATACACTGCTACGGGCCCGTGTATCTTCAAAGTTCGGGGTGGTGGCAGTATAAAAAAAAGACGCATCAGCGCCCCACACCAGTGTTCACGAATAACACCGGTCACAAACTCCCAAGCCCCACCGCTCTTCTCGACACCGACACGACATACGACAACAAACTGCATCAAAACGCCCCAAAAGTGAAGGCATCTGCTCCCGTGCTGCAACTAGCGGAAGTGAAGTGTTGGGCGGATGTCCGGATGTCCTTCACAAAAATATATAAAAAATGCTTTCCGCAAGGATCATTTTCATTTATTATTGTATACGTAATGACAAAATCCCAATAATTTGTTTTTCTATCTGATTCATGCTAGTCGGACTGCTCATAACACTGATCAAGCAAGAAAATAACAAAAATTTGAACTTTTTCATGACCGGTTTAAGATTTATTGTTAACATATCGTTATTTATTGCAACGGACTAACATTATAGATTTTGCCTCCATACTTTTAAATGCAAACAGTTCTAACACACGGCTGTCCATTGCGCCGTGTTTTGTGTATTCTTCTATAAATCTGTAATGGTCAGCGACCAAAGAGCTCACCCGCACATGTCAAGCTTATATGCGCCGCGGGGAGTAATGGATATCGAGTAGGAAGTGTCGGGCGTAGTGTCGGTTGTTGTGTTTGTGTACATGTCGGTGCTGTGTAGCTGTGTGCTGTGTTCCCTGCGTTGTATGTAGGGTTGCTGTGTGGTCGTGGGCGTGGTCGTTCGCAGTGTTAACAGACTCGTCTTTTTTTAAAAAACAGGCTGCTAGAAATCTCGATAGGTGGCGCAAGTTACCGCCCGATTCTAAATAGCTTGCTCAAGTTATTTATCCATGTGAGTTCGGCATTCGTTTCTTTTCTTTTTTTTTTTTTTTTTTTGTCTAGCGGCTCGTTGAAGCTACTGACGCCGCCGACCGCCGACAACGCACGTACGTACCTTTGCAAGTAGCTACGTCCGCCGCTTGGAGACTTTACTGTGTATAAAAGACATCGAACGAGAACTAACGCGCCCTGTGTGCTTTCAATTCGGCTGAAAGGCGCGCGGCTCGCTGGGCTCGTCTCTCGCCTGTTCTCGGCCGCTGGCCGCCATGTTTCATAAGGAACACGCTCGAAACGGTTTTGCGGAAGGCAGACACGGTGTAGCGTGTTAAGTTTACACAGCACCTCATATGTAGACGAAAAACACAGATGGCCTCGTGTAAAACGAACACGTTTCGACGTGTCCGCTATGGGACAACGGTTTACACGTCTGGGCGTGTTATTTTTGCTAACAGTGTGGAAGCAAAGACCAAGCTTCTGGAAGCCGGCAACTTGCAAGTAAAGGGCCGCTTTTGCCTTCTCGTAGACCCGAGTCGGAGGGAGCTGCGCATCAAGCTCCACTGGGTCACGTTCGACATCCCAGTGGACACGGCGCGTCGTGCCTTCGAGCCCTTGGGCTCGGTCAAAGAAATAATCCGAGAAAAGTGGAAAGTGCCAGGCTTTGTCGACGTTGAGTCCACCACGCTGGTGGTGCGGATGACGCTGAAGGAGGGCGTTTCCCTGGAAAGCCTCCCACACCAGCTGCGGATCTGCGGGAGGAATGTCCTGGTCGTCGCCCCTGGTCGTGCGCTGATCTGCCTCCGGTGCCACCGAGCGGGGCACATACGCCGAGACTGCAGGGTGCCCCGATGTAACCAGTGCCAGGCCTTCGGACACGAGGCCTCGTCGTGCGTAAAGACGTACGCCCGCGTCACTGGCAACAACATCGCCGTGGCGTCGTACGACACAGAGTGCATGGACGTGTTCGAGGCCGAGAGAGCAGCAACAACGACGACGCCGACAGACCAGCAAACCCAGGGCGGGCCCGCAGAGAACGTAGGAGTCTGTGATGAGGCGAAACCAAGACCTTCGCCCGGGGCATCAAAAGACAAGGCGGCCCCCGAGGTAGTCGAAGAGCTCGGGTCCGAAACGGTGACGGACTCTCCAGACGTCCCAGCGGCAACCGCCGTGCCGTGGAACGATGACGGCAAGAACCGTGTCGACGAAGACGTCGGGACGAAAGTTCATGACGAAGTCAAGGTCAAGGGTGACGACGGCGGCACGCCCGAGGAGGGCGAAGGTGGCGTCGACGGCAGGCTCAGGGACGCAGAGACCGGAGCGGCGACGCGACGGCACGAAGGCGTAAGCTCCAAGATCGCCGACAGGGAACTGCGACGCCTCGAGCGCGAGTGGGTTGGCAACGGGGGACTTAACCGTGAACGGTCGAGGTCTCGCCAGCGCAGGGAGGAGCAATTGAAGTGAATGGTCAAGGCCTTCACTACTGTTGTAAAAGGTTTCTTCCCACGGTTTTCTTTTTCTAAAGGCAGCACTTTCCGGTTTGTCCTACCTAGAATTTAAGCATGCTAAAAAGGTCTTTGCGCGTGGGCGCTTTAAACGCACGGGGACTGTGTTCCCGGCGCCGGCAGTGCCAACTGAGCCGCCTCTTTATTGAGTACGACCTCGATATTGTGGCGGTTCAAGAGTCAAAGATGGAAGGCAAAGGACAGACTGAGAGCATGGTGCGGGTGTTTGAGTCGCGGTACGACGTTTGTGTAAGCCACGCTGTTGGAACGTCTGGCGGGTGTCTTTTGTTTTTGCGGAAGGGTTTGTTTACAGTAGAGCAGGTTATTAGCGATGAGTCGGGACGCTTTGTTCTCTGTGATTTTTCTTTTTCTTGTAACCTTTTCCGTGTTCTTTGCATTTACGCACCGAACAGAATCGATGAAAGAGTGTTTTTTTTTTAGAGTTTTGAGAAGTATGTTCGGACGGATCGGCGTGTCATTCTGCTAGGGGACTTTAATTGTGTGTGCGCTCCTCGTGATCGGGCGAACAGCAGAAGATTTCATGATGGAAGTGCTTTACTTTTGGGGGAAATGGTCGAACGCTACGGCCTGGAAGACGTTGCCAACTGCGTGTCTGGTGGAGGGGTTCTGCTCTTTACACACTTCCAAGGAGCAAGTCACGCTCGCCTTGACAGAGTGTATGTTTCTTTTGAATTGCTGAGAGTGAGTTTGGTGAGAGTGAGTATGTTTCTTTTGAATTTCTGAGCTCAAACGCATATCGGATGGGGAGATTCCCACCAAAAGAGCAGTTGGCATTGAACGAAGATATGCCACCAAGAACGAGATAAGCGAAATTCTCTATCGGGGTACGTTGTCGAGTGACAAGGAAAGCATAGAAAACGCGTTCGTAGAGCAATGCATAGGCCTTTTTAGTAATTGCGCACCCGAGAGAGACGATTTTCAGTTTTTTTTTACCGTTAATGCCGCAGCTGGCAGACGAGCTAGCTTAAGGAAAGGCTAGAACAGCCTATCACGTTAGGTGAAGTCGAAAGGCAATAGACGATTTAAAGGGGGGGAAATCACCTGGGCCCGATGGTTTAGGAGCGGAGTTTTATAAAGTGTTTAAAGATCGAGTAGCTCCTTTTTTGCACCGTGTGCAAAAAAGGAGCTACTCGATCTTTTTTGTCTACACATACTGTTTTAATCCCCAAGAGCGAGGATCGAGTTAAGCTACGCTCGGTTGGAGCGTACCGCCCGATTACTCTGTTGAATGTGGATTATAAGATTTTGATGAAGGTGCTGGCGGAACGACTACAAGGCGTGATCAACCTTATAGTCGGTCCTCACCAGACGTGTGGTGTTAAGGGGAGGACAATTGTTGCAAACGTGCATGTAGCGCGAAGCACTTTGGAGTGCTGCGACGATTTCCAACAAAAGGTTGCGCTACTACAGATAGACCTCGAGAAATCCTTCGACCGCGTATCCCACGAAATTCTTTCTTCCATCTTAGAATATGTTAATTTAGGTTCAGTGCTGTGCGATGGGGTACGCATGGCTTACCTTAACTGTGCCACCCGTCTGGTTGTGAATAAGAGTGTGAGTGAACGTATCTCCCTTTTTTCTTCTGTGCGGCAGGGATGCCCGCTTTCGCCGCTGCTGTTTTGTATTTTTCTAGAACCCTATTGTTTAAGTGTGTTACGTAGTGGGCATATACGCGGCTTTAATTTACAAGCCAGTGCGTTTTTTGGCATACGCCGATGATGTGGCTATTTTTTGTACAGACCAAGAGAGTGTAAAGAAAGCCGTAGAACTGACTGAGAAGTTCTGCGAGAACACATGTAGTGCTGTAAATTGACAAAAGTGTCAGGGGTTTTGGCATGGAGATTGGTCCGCCAAGCTCACTGTTTTTGAACGTGTCACGTGGTCCGACACGCCGGTGCGGTATCTTGGAGTTCCACTTGAACAATACCGCGACAACGAGGTGTATTGGAATGAAGAAGGCTCAAGCGCTGCGCGCAAGGGCGGATAAGTTGGGGGGGGGGGGGGGGGGGGGGGGGAGAGGAGAGGCTTTTCAATGTTTGCGCGTGCCTCGGTATGCAACGCCTTTTTAGCTGCGAAGGTATGGTACGTTCTGCAGGTGCTGCACTGTTCGCGGGTCAACATCCAGTGCATACACCGTGTTTTTGCTGTGTTTATTTGGAGCTCAACTTGGGAAAGAACGAGCCGAACCAATCTTTTCCGGCGTGTCAAGGATGGGGGGCTGGGTCTGTCGCATCTTTTTGTTAGACAACTCGTTAATAGGTTTTGTTTCCTAAGGGACCAGAAGGACCCTCTACTGCGTACGGTCATTCAGGTGCGGCTATGCAGAGCATTGCCCGAATTTATTGTTTCGACCGATATTCATTCCAGTTATGGTGTACGTGGTTTTTTGAAAGAAGTTGTGTCTGCTTATCGGTTCTTGGCGACGCGGTTTTCGCTCGAGTATCTGTCCAGTGTGTCATGAAAGCGTTTGACCAAAGATTTGATTTTTTCCCTTTTTCCTACTCCACTGTACCGGTCCTTGTACAGTGCGGAAAGTGGTCAAGATATTTTGAAGCGTGTCAAGCAAATAAGGGTACCTGCCTTCACGAAATCTTTTTTCTTCAAACTACGCAGTGAAACCCTGCCGGTCAAAGTTTTTTTAGAAGGAAAAGGTATTCCCGTTTCATGGTGGGTAAACTGTTTACTTTGTAAAATGCCAGAGACGATAGAACACGTTTTCTTAACTGTTGGGACGCAGTGTTTCTTTGGGACGTCCTTCAAAGGACCCTTAAAAAGGACCTAGCGTTACCACCTCACTGAATCCGTTATTTGCCTGTTGAGGGAGAAGACAGCATGGTACCCTATGACATGATCATGCTGGTCGGTCTCCATAGCTTGTGGCGCAGCCGCATGGCTGTAAGACACGCGGACGTCGACGTGCGTCCCGCAGACAGGTATTTTGTTCAAATGATCTGTTTTTTGAAAAAAATGTTTAGGGTTCAGCAGCCACCCCCGGACTTTCTGCCGCTTCTTGAGGAGCTGGCGTCCATCACTGGTCTGTGAATGTGTTTGATAAGCTTGATATTTGTACAATAGCCTTTAAGGCTTTTGTTTTAACGTTTCATTATATGTGTAATGTGTTTGTCACCTGAACAAAAACAGGCAATAAAGAAAAAAATGCATAGCATAGGGGTTAAGGTGTCCGCTCTGTACGCTAGTGGACACGGGTTCGATCCGTGGTTGATCTGCTTTTTTTTCTTCTTTTTTTTTTCTCGGACATTTTGTGTTGTCGAGGCATTTGGCGATATCTATGAGTGCGTATAGCTTTACTCTTATATAAATGCTGCCCTTGTTGATGAAATTCCCTAGGCAGTGGCAGTCAGACGTCATCTGATGGACCATCAGGGCACGTTCCACCAAGACTGCTGACTGGCGGTCAGTGTCCCAAATTACGTATCTTGATGGAATTTTCAATAGGGTGCAAGCTGCGGAATACCCGATTCTCTTATTAACCTCTGTTGAGGACACACTCTTCAAGACCATCAAGAAGGGGGAGTAATCAACCCAAGGCACGCAACAAAACTCAAAGGCCTGTTGTAGTGTCATACATCCACAATATCTCTCACGGTTTAAGGTTGTTGTTGTTGTTAGAACGTTCTTTATTGCCCTGTTATTAATAATATCTCTCTCTCTCTCTCTATAAATATATATATATATATATATATATACCATACACACATATAATGCACCATTGTCGTCTGCATTGGTGCAGGCCTAAGGATCTGCCATTGCCGTCACGGCGGTCTGGGTGGGTGTTGGTCCCAGCACCTTCGGCTGCTGCAAAGTCGTCCGCCGGGGCCGTCGTTGTCGTAGACGAACTCCGCCAGCTTTGTCCCCAGCGTGGAGACGATCGTCTTGTCACGACTGGATAGCTAGGTTCGAGATTGTACATGTTCCTTTTAAAAGTACACGGAAGTGACGTCTTCACGTCTGATTGGTTGGAAGCAAGAGTGACGCAATTTCTCGAGAAAAATGGGGGCGGAGTCGGCTAAACTGGGCGGAGTCGGCTACCGGAGGTGACAACATGTTGACGTTTCGTTTTGTACTGAGTACGTTTCAAAAGGTACTTGCTCTTGAGTAGGTGTCTTTCGTTAGTCATATTTTCCGAACCGCGTCGTCGTCGGGCGATTATGCCACTTTTCAACTAATTTAGTTATTGTTTTCGCCGGGAAGGCTTACCGGCAGCACCGCGCAGCATTCGAGCTCCCGGAGGATTGCAAGCGTGCGACGCAGCGGCGGCAGCGCGAGACAACGTTGGCGCGAGGGACCGGAGGTGAACAGACTGCGAAACGAAGCTCGTGGACGTTCACGACTGTGAAGCTTCAAGTGTTGAACGCTTCGTTTCTGCGACACGGAGTGCTTCCAAAGTTTGGAGGCGAGCGACGAGCACGTAGCACGGGACCGAAAACAGTTGGCGTCTCTGTCCGCGTCGCGTCCGTCGCTATCGTGCGTCGTGTCGGGGTCCAGCGCGGCTGGCTCCGCTTCCCCGACACGCCGAGCGAGAGGTACGACGTGGAGACGGGCCTCAGGCAGCTCGGTAGGATATTGGGCGTCATCGGTTGCGTGAACGAAACGATGATCGCCACCGTCGGCCCGTCCAAGAACGATCCCACCGCCACGAAGGCGGTGCACTGTGCCGCAAGCATTTCTACGCCCACAACGTGATGGTGCCTGGTGGTAAGTACGCTCGTGTTACGTACTCAAAATCAGTTCCATGTGTGTCAATAACAATACAGCGTAACGGTACGGTGTCGATACGCCATTTTATAAATGGGAGGTGCGGGCTTGTGTGCTCGGTCAGGGGCCGACGCAGGTATTTCTAGAGGGAGGGAGGGGGGTGGGGGTCAGGGTTTTTGGTTAGCGTATTATGTTTAAACCCCCCCCCCCCCCCCCCCCCCG